TATATACTGATAGAACAAAATGAAGCTGCAAGCCCCCCACAGTTGGCCGAAACGCTAAGTCGAAAAGATGTGCACTTCAGCCGCGCCTATTGAGGTGACATACTAAGAAATGGAAGTAGAGATAACAATTATCAGAGTAGTTGTTGAGAATATTAGAAAAGGCCCAAAAGCTCACAATCTAGATGTAGGCCTATCACAAATAAAATGTAAAGGAATGTGAGTGGAGGAATTAAAAATATAAATATTTTATTTTTAACAATTTTAACAAATATATCTAATTTAATTAATGAGAGTAATGTTGGAGAGCATGTCAGAAATAGGCTTACATAAGATAAGAAGGGAGTACATCAAATGAAAGAGAATATGACGGGATGAACAAATATTGGATACACAGAGAAATTCCACAGAGTTCAATAACTTACCGTCAGCATCGAATTCATTGATCATATCTTGGAGTTCCTTATCTGAAGGGTTTTGCCCCATAGACCTCATTACAGTGCCTAGCTCCTTGGTCGTAATCGAGCCATCTCCGTCCTTGTCAAATATCTCAAACGTTTCCCTTAGTTCTAAATTGGTTAATTTGAAGAATTAATCGAAACACAACATCCGAATTATGCCAGGATTGTATAAGCTATAGTTATAATAATTATAAATATAGCAATCGGATCAGTGATAATAAATATAAGTACAAAAAATAGAATAATTATTACCAGCAAATAAATAAAAATATAAAGTTTTTTTATACATATATACTGTATAATTAAATATATACAGTATAGGGCAGAATATGTATGTGGAATAATAATATAGTGATAATAAAATATAATAATATACACCAGTAATAATGTTAACAATACTATTAATTTAATAATAGTAATATGCATTTATATTTGCTATCATATGCATTTATCATTATTCTGGCTACAGTACAAGATCAACATGTCACTAGTATATTTTTTGTAGTAATTAATCTGGTAACCTTGTCGTCCGCATGCGCATTAATTATGCTTGCTGGTCACAGATCTATATCTACGTGCGCGTATGCACACTTTTGATGACGTGTACACATATTTACGACTTTTAGGCTCAATAAATCAAATGTTTTATTATCTTGTTTTTGTAAAAATAAGTATAATACTTGATGAATCTACATACGTTCGAGCTCGAGCTTTGATAGGTCCTCCTGTAAGACAAAAAAGAAAGTTAAAAAACAAGTTACTTAATGTAGATACAAAAGGGAAAACAAGCAATAGTGCAAACACAAATGATTGGAATATCTACAACACAGAATACACACTGTGTAGAAAACAATTTTCCTTTAAGTAAATATTTGCCTTAAGTAGTTTGGTTATCACAAACTTAGTGTGTCGATACCGATTTGTTTATTAATACCTAAAATACCCAGATTTTAAGAAGATCAACTGCAAAAGGAATCTTCCTTGACTGCATTTAGACACATCAAACAGTCGTTCTTTAAACAAACAACTGTAAATCAATGAAATGACAGAACAACTGACGATCGAAACTGTAAGTGGTTTTATTGAATATCAATTACATGTTTCTAATTGGATTACTATATTTTCTTTACACCACCACACACGCGAAAAATTATTCTTAGGGCCACCTGAATTGATGACGTCAGATGTTAAAAGTGATGACGTCATACAAGTGGTGATCATTCACTATGGTGAGAAATATAATGTCTTCTTCAACTTGTGCTAAGAAAGACGTTTACCCATATGAAAAATATAATCACGATAAAACGCGCGATCATGCGTCAACGGACATGACAAGCGAATACAGTGGAATAAATTAGCAGGGAAAATGAATAATAGGCCGACCAGGCTTAGAATAATAAATTCTACTATATTGGGCTGGTTCACTTTGTACCGGTAACTTACATACATATTATATAATTATAACTATTAATTATTAGCACTAAGCCAATTAATCATATTATATGAAAATTGTAAATTTAAATAGTTCTAGAGATAATAGATTTTCATAATAAATTTCTTTATTGAACACTAAGCTCGGTTAACACGATACATATAATACAGTAGGTTCGAAGACCTGTCGTTCCTGTAATACGCGATATTTGTCTTGTACTTGCATCGTGGTGATGATAAGCTAACCTAAAAATTGATGAACACGAATATCTATAGCTGAATAATCATTACAACATACTTGTTTTATGTGTCTCGTTAATAATTTGTAGCCTGATTATAATCATATATGTTGCGGCACGTAACGGAAATGAACGGCAGTAATCGTTATGTACATTAACTGATTGGCAGTCCACTATAGTGTTCATGCGATTTATTTTTACTGAACACGCATCATCCAGTGTAAACTGTTAGTTATGTTGGTTGTGATTCATGCAAGGACTGTCACTCTACACGCCTCAACCTCTGACTATGACCACCGGATTCACATCGATACGATATGAATTGTATTCTATCAAGCAAGTAATCAATCAATCAATCAATCAATCAAATCAATCAATAAACATAAACCATGCGGTCAGTCTCTGCCAGTCAATTAATCAATCAATCCCTGAAAATAATGTACATTTGGTAATCATCTCAAAAATACATTCAAATGTGCCTTCACTTAAAATGTTCCAATTAGTTTAACGCAAAATACCAAAACAAAATCATAAACTCATTTTTAACTAAACTTTCTCATTTTGACAACAAATTATCGACTAGAACATAGAAATTAGTGTATTTAAAAAAATGTTTTTCCATAATTTTACAGCGAAAATTAGAGAAACACTTCCAATCACTGGAAGTATTTTATTATTTTATTACTATTATCAGGGTACACATTGTTTATATTCAATAATTTATGCTCAAGTTAATAATTTGTATGTTACTGCAAAATAAACAAGTTAATTCCAAAATTACTTTTTGTGATTATTTTTCATTTGTCAGGAACAATTCTTGTTGTAGACATCTTTAAGTTGTTAACTGTACTTTAAAGTAGGGTATACCTTATTTCAGACAAGCAAATGAAATCACCCGGAGTGTTTTTGCGCGTCTGTTTTTGCATTAACTGAATATAGCATCACTGTTTATCAATCAACGGTAATCCGTAACCTCATCAATACAAAACTGTGTGTGTTATGTGTTCTCATCAACTTGGAATTGCACTCGAACAATCATTCAAGAGTGACCCATTGGTTCAAAATTAAGTGTTATATTTACAAATTAATTTGTTTTCTTGTCACCTTTCAGTGTTCGTTAATGTGACAGAATTAAAAAACATCGACTTAGAGCGAAAATTCATACTATTTTTGGAGCACCTCTTCTCTGATTACTTTGGAAATATCAATAAAATGACATAATGTTGACCCGAGACTACAAGAGCTGTGATTTCTTGTTGGTGTCAGATCATGAGGAATGTGTTCAAGTGGAAGCCCTCTCCTTCTCTTTTTTTTCCCATAACAATAGGCCTACCCAGTGACATATTATTGTCACTCAGGCATACTGTCGAGGAACGAATGAAAGTGATTCAAGATTCAAGATTCCATTTACTGTCATCCATGTACATAATACACGTACTGTACATGAAATATGTTTTTCTTAGCTGGGAATAGAAAAATATACATACAAATTAAACTACAAGGCGGAATATTAAATATATACACAGTGCATAAAATACTTAAATTACAGTTAAATAAAAAAAAACAATATATACTGTACTAAAGAAGATCTAAATGAGTACAGAGTGGAGGTAAATAAGTCGAGTCGTAATTAAATGGGTCAAAAAGTTAAGATTATCGGTTTAAGAGATGTGACTATCTGGTGAATACCGGTACCGTACTTTATTATACATAACGACAGGCATGTGGCAAAATAAGTTTTAAAATCTATTTGTTTTACACTGGGTTGGCAAATCCTGCCTGACCTATTGAAATTAATATACTAAGTTAGTGGATGAGTGTCTCTCTAGTAATTTGTTCAACTTTTTAAAAGTACCGTACTGTCCTATCACAAAGATCATTCCGGCTCTCAATATTATTGCCAATGATTTTCCTCGCTGCTTTAGTTATTTTCGTTATCATTATTTTGCTTTTTAACACTCGGCAACCAAGCAATACAACACAACACAAAACATAAAACTGCTTTGATGACACTCTGGTAAAAATGAAATAGAGTATCTTGTCCAACATGAAAATTGCTAAGCTTCCTAAAGAAGAAAAGTCGTTGACTGGTTTTTGAGTACAGAGTTTGTGTATGTTTACTCCAATTTAAGTTATCGTCAATGATAATACCAAGATATTCTTTCGATGTTTCCGATGTTCTTTCAACTACCGAGCCATTTACACTGAGTGAATCAACTTATCTATTTTCCCTTTGTTTTCCTAACATTAAGTACCGGTATTCTAAAACAGCGGTAAGATCTCGCCTGTATATGTTATCCTGCCTAAAGATGTTTTAAATAAATAAAATAAAAATAAAAAAAATTCTCAGAGCACCAGTTAATTACATGAGAAACTTCATTCCTATATGTTACTTTATCATTATTTGATATAAGACCAGTAATACACATGTCATCGGAAAACTTCAAAATGCTGTATGAGGTAGGCCCTACCGGTACACCTTAAATTAGAACTACAAATGGAAAAAAAAATACATCCTTGTGGGGTACGAATATCACAATACCGTACTATTCATCTTAACTCCTTGAGTTGTATTACAATGAAATCACTAACCCACAATGGCAGGTCAGATGTACATTCATACATCTCAGCTTGTTAATTAGTACATGAGCTCGGACGATATTAACTGCCGAACGAAAATCAGTAGTGTTCTGACATAGCATTTGACTTGGTCAGTGTTTATATATACGGGATGTAGCAGAGATGTTATTCACCGTCAACACCTCTTAGCACAATAACCAAATTGATATGGGTCAGAAAACGTTTGTGTCTCTTTAATCAGGGTGTTTTTAATCAGTTTTTCAAAGCATTTCATAGCGACTGAGGTCAAGTTCTTGGTCTGTAATCGTTTAAGCTTTTAGGCTTAGATAGTTTATTTAATAAAGAGATATTAGCGGATTTCCAGAGGCCAGGGGCCATTCAAAAAGATGTGCAAAGATCGGGGCTAATTCTTGTGTAGGTCTAAATCCACTATAGAGATAAAAGTTGTACACAACTCAAATTAGGCATTGTACATAATTGGAATTGTGTTCTCGGGGCCAAAATTTACAATATTTTAACTTAAATAATCCAATAACAAGATAACAAAGTTAATAATGTGCTTAGTAATCAAGCCGATTCACTTAATTAAATCTATGATAATTGGAATTTAGCGATTGACCAAACATTGACTAAGATTAAGGAAAATGATCAGAATGTCCAAAAAAATATGCGTAGAGTACGCGCGTGGTCGTGACATATTGTAGAGACGGTTAGTGATACATAGGTACGCAAATACAAATCACTATTTCCCCATGATATCATAGTTGGTCAAGATGTAAGGCTAGGGTTGCAGCAAGCAAAGGCAACACGAGTCTGAGGAACACAATTATCGACTAAACGATTGTGCAGATGCCAGAGACAGGTGAAGATGTCGGCTCACGACATTGTTGTCTAGGCTACATTATGAAATTATAAAATCGTTCAAGTATACTGCAATCAAAGAAAGTGACTAAAATAGAAAATGGTTAAAATTTACTTTGCCTACGCCTGGGCGAATGACGTTTAATCAACGGTACAACACTAGTACAATAACCAGGGCGTTAAAATAAATAATTTGCACGACAAAGCATGATCACGATTTCGTACTTTCATCCACAAACAGATCACCATGGTTACGTTGATTACGCGACAATGACGTTTACGTTGATTTGTATGGTTTAACCGCTGGTAATGTATAATATTGTCCGTTTTATTTATTTTTTTTTTATTCCGGTATAAGATTAACAATCAGCAGCCAATGGCTGAATTTGATTGCTTTACAATAAAAAACATATATATACAGGCAATAAAAACATATAAATACATTGAATAGGGGGGTTGAAATTGAAATTGATTACTAAATACATCAACCATTACAAAATTTAAAAGTTCTATATACAAATTCATCAAAATTACCACATGAATAATATAAATAATTATCAAAAAATATATCCTTACTTATACATTATTAATTTTAAAATAAATATACAATAATCAAGATTACCATAAAAGGCGATTTATGCGAATATGGTGTTGATTAAATAAAATAGATGTCAAAGACATTAATGTTATTATTTTCTATTCAGGTAGGAGAAGCAGTACAGTATTGTAGTAATTGTCTATTTTACAACAATCGATTGTAAATAATTCCATAACGTATGCCTATTACGTGATCTCATCCACTGGCGTTGATATGAAACGCATGATCTGTGAAAAGCCAAACAAAAACAATGACGACAGAAATCTTGTATCTGCTCAGAATTGTTTTTAGTGAATATAAAGGTGTGCCAAATTCTCTCGATGTTATTTCTTCTTCTTTGTTCATTTTCTGTTTTTAACCATAACAAGTACGCCGATGCTTTATTGAATATTATTATCATAACTGATTGGCCTAAGTTTGGTAAACATCAATGGAATGTAGAAACACCGCCTGGTCATAATTCGCCTGACGTGTACGCCACGTACAATACGGAAATTTTTGGTACAATCCATATTTGAGGACTTTTGGCTAAACGGTTCCGAGCGCGTGTTATTACGTCACGATTTTGTTGAGACTTATTTATCAATAATGTCTGTATTAACAATTCTGAAATCATCATGAGTGGCTGAGATGTACCGGAGAAGCTTCATTATACATTATTCACTACAATTAATTTGATTGTAGGCCTAATGAATTCCGTGATCTTATCGTGACGTCATTAGGCGGGACTGCATGCTTTTAAAAATTTTGACAAAAATTGACTCCAAAATGAAATTTGTTTATTTATTTTATTTATTTATTTAGGAACACAACACATGCACCAAGGTTGTCAATAGCGTATATATCACTGTCCTACTTGAATGTGACAATCCCTTTTACAAAACAATATGCACGATGCTTTACACAAACTAAATCTAAGGTTTTGGGAGTGGAGATGCTTTTGTCATGAAAAAAAAAATCGTGCAAAACTGACTGGGATTGAACCCATGACCTTGGGATTAGAAGGTAAGCATCTTAACCACCAATTCAACTCCACTCTACTCAACTCGATAACGGATCCGCTTAGATGCAAATTTTAAAAAAAGCTACATAGACCAACAAATTGGCATGCTGTGTTGTCCAAGCAGTGACATTGCATAATCAAGTTAGGAAGACGTGTCTTTCCGCTTTCCTTGGATACTGTTGCTAAGGTCCTAAAAAACAATAGCGTAAACGTACGTAAGCACGTGCGTTTGTGGGACAACACGTGTTTGTTGGACACGTGCGTATTCCTGGCAGAGTTATGATTGGTCTGTTAATTTGTTAAGTTTGATCGACACTGAGGATAGGTTCTCGTTCACAGCCCATCGTCACTCATCGTTTGTTTGGTTGGTAAAAACGTAACCCATTTTGTTTTCTTCATACCTTCATTCTTTCTATCGCCTACACATTGAATTCCCAATATTTCAGATTTACTAAGCATTCATTGTCTATATGGATTTAAGTTTCAAAGGTTCAAGGTTTTATAGTGTATCTGTATTTCTTATAATGTCTATTTTAGCGGTGACACGATAATAAATGGAATTTGTAAACATAACTGAATTTAACTGAAAATAGATAGTAGCCTATACGGATGTAACTATACTTAGTGTTTCTTAACACAATGCACACTGCGAATCCGTCCACGGCCAGTGTTCGAGCGCTCTCCCGACGCGAGTCCACTGACCGTCGATGGCAGAGCAGCTGTTTCGACGGGAAGAGGAAAGTGTAAAGTTGATGTTACATTCATAATGGTTACATTGAAACCTATAGTTAAAATCGGAACTTGTCGACAACGTAATTAATAAACGACGGGATTGTATGAGTGAATGACGCGCTTCAGTATAAGTTGAGGCACATTGATAGACCAGGGAAAAATATATGAAATATATATAAAACAGTCGGAGAGAGCAAACACTTATTTCTGCTGTGACAGATTGTTCCCGAGACGGGTATACATTTACTAATTGTAAACATCCGAATGCTTCGAAGATCTAAACACAGACTAACTATGCTGTGATTGATTATTTTAAATACCACGTTAATACAAAGATACTTTGCAGATTGCTTGATGAAAAAACTGTGTACATAATCTAATAGGCTTTAATTATAGAGAGCAGCTAGCTCAGTTGGTTAAACTGCTGGTAGCTGGAGGGCTGAAATGCAAGTTTCAAAAGCGCACCATATTTCGGATGAGACGTTAGCCGTTGGTCCCTTGCGCAAAATGGATCATGTGCACGTTAAAAAACGCAGTACATTCTTCGGAAAATAGTAGGGATTGTCTCGCGGTGTACTGTCCAATTCACCACCAGAAGGACACCGGTATATCACACCGAAGAAATTCAATCCAGGTGATTTACACGCGATATTGCTGAGTGCCACAATGTGTGTTCGGCAATTAGAAGGATTCACGAGTGTGAAAGTATGGATTAAGCGATTTCCACAATGTTTATGTAAGGTTATCCCCTTAGTAGTGGAGGACAAATATGGTTGATCTGTAATCAACCAGATTTTTACTAATAAAATCGGTCACAGAATGTTTTTAATTTATCGGAGTCCATATATAATAAATTCTTTCTCCACACCACCTTTCGGCTTCTCGGGTGTATACGTTATGGTCATTATGTCTTACAGATTGGCCAAAAAAGCACAATTCCATGTCATATTGTAGGTCTATCTCGAATACGAACATGAGGGCCTATATTATCATTACCACAATGTAGTGGCGATCAAACTTATATTTTTTTTATCGCACTGTACAATGCTGAATCATAGGGAAATAGTATTTATGTTAGTTGGGAATACTTCATCGTTTACTTTAGTGTATGATCAATTTGCTAACGTTTTAAAAACTCATACATTTTCATTTTAAACACAAATTAGCTTGGCGGCTCAATATTTTTTCGTTCTTGTGATGCTGTAAGGCTGTAAGATTGTTAGATAAAGAAACTCTGTTATGAAAATGGGGTCTCGCGTGGTTATTTTACCAAAGTAGGGGTGTATATCTGATAGTCATTATTGAAGTTTGACAAGCAAAACAGAAAAATTTATATTTCGAATCATTAGGCCTATCTCACTGTGCAATGTTGAATCATAGGAAAAGGGTAGATGGTACTTATGTTAGCAAGGTATACTTTTCCTTTAGTACTTTTGGTGACAATTCTAATACCTTAAATGCTGTCTTTATGATCAATTGCTCACGTTAGGCTTAAACAATTGAAAACTCGTACATTCTTATTTCAAGCGCACATTCTCCCTGTTCTTTTGAAGCCAGGCCTGTAATATTGATCGAAAGGGGCTTTCCTCGTGTTATTTTACAAGAATATTTTTAAAGTATCTTCTACAAACTTAGTTTTAAATATGGCCATTGATTTCCATGATCCCTGTTTATACTTGTTATTGTTACGAAATTTGGAACATCATATAGGCCAACAAAAATATTCGTACATTTTCATTTTAGGCACACATTGTTTTTGTGGCGCCTATAAATTTGTTAGAATAGGACGTCTCTCGTGGTTATTTTACCAGACTATTTAACAAATATCTTTAACAAGCTTAGTGCTTGAAAACAGTTTAAATATGGCCATGGTTTTCCATGATCCCTGTTTATACGTAAGAAACATACCAACACAAATATTCGTGTCGTTTTAGAAATTAATCGTAAAATTTTGTGGTTTTTTTTAAATTCATATTATATGTTATTATATTTGCAGGTATATAAATAAAATTCGGGCCAAGATATCAGTGATGTTTGATGTAGCCTGCAAAATCTGTTGTACATTCTTTCATGCTGTTAAAAATTTCAAAATCCTTCGTCCCACAACATACTACAATGTTGACGCTCCCATGAGTAATTCAGTAATGTTCCTATTGCGCAATGCTATAGGAATTCCACTTCGATCTCTCCAACATTTCAAAGCATTGTTGACACCAATGTTTGTTCATATAAAGTAAACGACATTACTCATAATTAATACCTACGCACCATAAGAACCCGCTAATAATGAACCCTCTTATGTATATACGTTTATACAGTGAACATTACGATATGCATTAACAGACACATGACACTGCAAGATTTTCTTGTATAGAAGGTAATCAGAGCCCGAGATCAGCTGCATTACCTAATTACAGACGATTCATGATATCATAATTACGCGCCAAGAGAATGCTCGCATCCAGGCTGTATCAGACTAGGTTTATTCGTTCTACGTTTGACCCCTACACAACTTCCATTTTCGGAATCGGAGTTCGGGTGTATTGTGGAGTTATAATTAAAGCTCCGCATCGAGGAAATTCCGACAGTGCTCTGTTTTGAGATTATGCGAAATAATTGAAAGTCATGTTGCGAGCAAATTAGTGATCTGATGGCCCACAGCCTAGACCCGATAGATATTCACTTCCAGAAGCATTAAGCCATTTAAAGGGGCTTCACCTTGCCTCAGACTGATGGCATTCGCTATATGCCTTGCTTTGTCGAGCTTTTAAGGTTGCAAACCTTAGCCATATCCAGCCATCAATCATCGGAATAGACTGTAGGCCCAAACATTACTCCGCTGAGTTCACTGATATACCACGGCGGGTAGCTCCAAATGACGCAAAGCCTTTATTAAGTATAGCAACATCATTGTTGGAATTTCCAAAGCTTACTAAAAGCACTTCGACCGGTTAAAATATTCACTAATTAATGTTGGCTAACCTTATCTACGGTACTTTACCAGATTTGTTATAATCTTATGAGTACCGGTACATAAATGCAAAAAGTGCACTCAGACTTTTAGGGTGCATCTGGATCATTAAATTGCACTCATTCTCGAGTGAATTTTATGCTTATGCTTAAACTAACGAATTTGAAATTAACTCAGAAGTGTTGGTTATTTATTACGCACAAGTAAAGATGTGGCTAAAGAAAATTCCAAAACAAAACATTTAAAAATAATAAATAGCTAAAATTAAATTACATCTGAACATGTTGAATCCCTGAATAACCAACGACCGTCCGTCTCAAGGAGTGAAATTTCTCTCTCCCCTAACTCTAGGCATATGTATTTCTCTCTTTTGGAGTTCATTCACTCATTCATTCTTTGTTTCGCAAGATGATAAAACAAAAAATCAAAATCCAAGATGGCATGGAATGACCACAGTTCAAAGAAAACTCAATAATAGTATGACTTGCTGTTTACAGGAAAGGATAACCTGCGATGCTGATGTTTTACTAAGTCATGAAGAAGAGTCAAGAGCAAAATCCTGGTGTTTCCAGGAACCAGGACCCTGGGATTAGAGCGGACCACAAAACCACACAGTATACCAGCATAAATCATGAAGGACGCCCATTCCATGACCGTCTGGAACAATCTTGCCATCATCTCCAAAATGTATAGTGAATGACTTTCAGTGTTTTTTTTTTCTCCTGACCTGAGACAATACAATGAAGAAAGAAAAGAGGTGATCGAAGGTGCACTGTAACTTACCTCATCAACTTGGTCACCAGAAATATGGCCGAACATATTCATTTTAATAGCAAATAATAATGAACTTTAAGCAGAATAAAATGGCAAATTATACGATCAGACTTTATAATGGCGATTGTATATCTCGCAACCGAACTGTCACAGAAAAAATCTAACAGAATGTGACAGGTCTTCGACTCAGTCGCCGATAACACCCGATGGGTTTATTCACATGGACAGTTCAATCAACTACATCAACTTTACCCAGAAGGCTTTTACAATGCATGATGGGAATGATTGACAGGCAAAGAAACAGTTGGTGTTCCCATAGAAACAGAGACTGTTGATAGTCAACTTGAGGTGACTTTTAACAATAGGAAGGCCTATGCATTACTTATTAACTCATCTGAAAAGATTAACAATATCAATAATTGACTTTGTCTTAAATCTTTCTGTCTTTTTTTTCGTTACCCTTGTTCACAACATTATACAACTCCCCTTTTCAATAGGCCTAGGCCTACCTCATTACGACACTTACTGATTCAAAAAAACATGCGTATACTCCTGACTCAGGTAAACGATATCATACAATATACAATTATAAGTTCCATTCAATGCTACTGCTAGATATTATAATATTCTTTATTTCCTCTATTTATTATTGCTGTAAGTAGGTATATACCGTTAGGCTAGCATTTTACGATCACATTTTCTATTATCTGCTTTTATTACAATTTACAGACGTCCTTAACATGTTGATTGAACAACAAACCACAATATATTTGAATTTCTGACTTTATAAAGGCATATTTATAACTATGTTATTATTATTATTTTACATTTCATTTGGAAGTTAGGCCTACATCAGGTAAACATATAAAAACCTTAACAAATGCCAGACGCAAACAATAATACATTTTCTATATGTCGGCACTGACTTTGAAATTGTGGCTGTTAATTCATTTAAAGGCAATTTTTAAAAAAATCAAAAATAATAAAACCGAGTTTATTTTGATTCGTATTTTCTTAAAAACTTAATATCTTATTTACCGTAATCTTTGATTTCAAAGTTTTATACATTTTTAAAGCTTTTTTCAGAATTTACATTAGTCTTTAAAGAATCTCTTAAACAAATACGTTTAACGACAGTTATGTTACTAGCAATGATCCTACTCATTTAATACCGAAGTAGCGAACAGAAGAAAACAATTTAGGTTTTCTGATATTAGATCTGTCTATTACAATAGCATTTTGCTCTATGTTACAGTAATGTTGTAATGTTGATGTACCTTTTAGTTTAAGTTCACGTCTTTTTGTCTGTGTTTATCGCAATAGGCTCGAGATTCTTAATCAACATACAGTAATAGGTTTTGTCTGAGATAACTGTACAGTTGTCGCAGGTATTGTGAAAGTGTGTGTTTAACTTGAACAAAGGTTGCATTCACTGACAGCGTCTAAATAATAATAATCTGGGGATTTCATTGGCGGCTATACCGTAGGTCTGTATGGTCTAACGGCATGATACTCGCCTTGATAGCGAGAAGTTTGAATCCCGCTACAGACACTTTTTTTTAGAAAGTATGATACATACTCCAAGTATTGAAATGCACGCCATCGTGTTGGGATTCAATATTTCGACATTGATTATGTCATCATCACTTTCTTTATACAAGTGAAAATAAACTCTTTTCGTTGAAGGGCTATGCTTGATACGATTACAATATATTATGCTCATATCTGAGCACTGTTCTTATTTATATAGGCCTATTTGTTTATATACAAATATATATATATATATATATATATATATGCTGTGTATATATGCCTATATATATTATATATAAGGTATAAGGTATACATGTATAAGGTGGGCCTTTAAAAAAGTGTTAAAAGTGAGTTTCACAGATATCGAAGTATCCCAGTCCTCTTCAATTCTGATAACTTTAAAGTAAAGAATTAGAGACTAAAGTCTTAAACAATTGGCTTCCAACTGTGAAAAATTAGGCAATTAGGTGTACCACTATTAGAATGTGGAAGTTATAGTCCATCTTTTATGACCAGGCCTAGATTATTGTCTGAAAATATTCTTGAACGCCCCAAGGTCAACGCGAGCGCAGATATTAACTATTTCTATGACGGTTTTATTTCCGAGGTCGGTAGTATTCATCTTTAAAAAGATTAACTTACTTAGCTTGGAATAACCTTCATGATATTGATGAGTAGGCATAGTGTTCCAGGGGAGGATAAACAATCGGGGAATGTGGTAGGCCTATTACAAAGGTGGGGGTCGCAGTTCAGTGTTAACTAATGCTAATCCAACACTGATTAGGCCTAGTTAATCTCCAACAATGTGTTGGCTTGTATATAGGTATACACTGCAAGAGGACTATGGTAACCACTGCTACAATCATGAGCTACGGCAATGAGGAAGAGGAACGTCTTTACTGGCCACAATTCCAAAAGCAATACATTTGTAAAGTGGATAATAATAGACATGTTTCCACAAAGTATAAAACAAGACAGACAATGTATTAAATATACTGTATATATACGATGCATAGACAGGCCTATTATATATGATGACCTATAGGCCAATATATAATTCTGACCGTTAAAGACTATAGGACTATGCGCGAGCAAAACAGTTGCTCCAACCACCGGATTCAAATCTGGGCCTTCTACTGTCTATGCTGAAGCATTAACAAACTGGGCCACTGGTGTGTCTTGTAGGGATCATTTATATAGGCCTAGGCCCTATGATATCAGTGCGCTACACAAACTTGTGTGATTTATATCACATATATAGATCACTTAATAAGATAAATACACGCCACTGAGGATCGGGTAGAGAATTCAAATCATAAATCGGATAAGGGGAGACATCGATCCTTATTACAAGACAATTGGAGATATAATGATGACAGCTGAAAGCACGACCTTATAAGTGGTAGTTGGTGGAAAACATTCACTAGCAATTTGGTCGGGTCATTGCAGTAAGTTGATTAACAACCACAACACACGCTTACCACGTATCATATCCACAATTCAAGTCGTGTTTCTATGGGCATAGATCATAGAGAATCTTCTGGTACATTTTAATGTAGGCCTCATCACCCTTCGATAGGCCTATATAGTATAATCTTGTCTGACCACGGAGACCCCATAAAGAGACCCATAAGGCTCATCCATTTAAAATATTGTTTGAATAAAAGAAAATTAAAAAGGATGATGTTTGAGGCTTTTGTGGAATGCGCTTTATAAGAACTGATTTATTATTATTATTATTATTATTATTATTATTATTATTATTATTATTATTATTATTATTATTATTATTATTATTATTATTATTATTATTTATCCCCGGAGTGGGATCGGACGGGGCCCAGTCGTCCGGAGGCGAAGTCCCACGAAGTATGGACTTTTTAGTATATATGTAGATGTCTTATAGATACATTTTATTAGTCGACAAAAATGGATTACATTTTGTTCATCATGTAATTTGTTTGCACCTAGAGCACGGGCCCCCTGTGGGATGGCCCGGGGCACATTCTCTGTACTAGAAAATCGTTATCGAACAGTCTCTCCTGGAATGCTATCCATTTAGGCCAAGAGCAATCAAAGGTGATAACGGATATGACCAACAAACGGCGCAGTAATTGTTGTATAACACTATAATATTTCTAATGAATTTAATATTCCATTCACACCTGGTATATATTAATTTACAAATCTATATAAATGTCTTAGCTCATCACATATAAATGATATCCCGAGTAAAAATAAACCAGAACAGCAGTCTGAATACCATACATATACGTTAGCTCTCATAGACACACTATACGAAATATACATGTATATAGTCAAGTCCTTTGTTCGAACACTGTATTTACCTTTCTTTGATATATATATATATATGTATATATATATATATGTATATATATATA